GTGAGAACTTTGGTCTTCACTTGTAATGTTTGAATAGCTCATTCTAAATCTTACTGATAAATCACATCTAAGATCTGAAAACTAATACAATGTTCTTCCTAGACTTCACTTGCTGCATGCTTGCAGTTCACTGTATTCACATGGAATCCATTGGCTAAAATGAGGGACTTGTGCAGGAGAAAGAATTTGTAACAGTGGTGATGGATTAGAAAGCATATTTATGAATTTTAGTTCCCCGGAAAAAACACACAAGCTATCTCCTCTACCTAGAACAGTATTTCCTTTTTCATGCAAATTTTTCAGTCATGAATGTTTAGTTTCTGGTGAAATAAGAATTTCATTTATTTTCACTAAAGCTTCCTTTGAAATGTTCTTGTTTGATTGGGACATATAATTAATATATGACACTTATCTATGCCACATGTAAACAACTGCAAAGATGAAGTTCTGTCAAAGGAAATAAAAATAAAACAACAAAATTCCCTGAGCCTCTAACTTCCACAAAGAAACAAACAAATACTATATATGGGTAAATAAAGCAAGCATTTTTCCCAACTATTAATTCTAATTTAAATATATATTCTTTTGGTCATCTGACTCCCCTTTTATACTTAATTTCCACCACTAATTGTGTGATAAAATGTTATTAATAGTAATATTTACTTAAAGGGAATTTTAGAATTTAAGTGCAATTAAGTATTCATGGTGAAATCCTGATTACATGAATTACATTTTTTCAACTATGCACAGAAACCATATTATGAGATTCTTGTGACCAAATACAGTTAACCATATCCTATCAGATTTCAAATATTGAATAATATTTAAACATTAGTGCAACTTAAATTCAAAATCAACTTGCTTGGCCAATTTAAAACACACAAGAAAATCCACATCTGCTTAACATAATCTGCAGAGAAGACAAATTCATCACATAAATTGTTGCCAATTAGTTGCTTAGACACAGAGCTCCCATTAGCTTTCAACTTTTAGCTACTTTATATCTTAATATTTTTGTGTTATATATGCTTCTACTTCTCCAACTCTCCTATTATCAATGGTTTTAGCATATTAAGAATGCAAAACACAGTGGAAATGGTAAAATTCCATCAGACAATTGAGGTTTATCCCTTTTAATATGCTATTTCCCCAGGGTGCTATTGATTATAATTGATTTCTAAATGACCTAAAGTCTTTGCTTCAGCAACTTTGTTAGGCAGGTCATTCAAAATAGTTCTTACAAGGATGTAAAACCAACTAACACTCTCATTTTTAGACAGCAGGTTGTTGCTCTTTAGCCTGACAGATTTGATTCAGATAAATTTTAATAGACTGGATAATAAAAAACTTTAATAGGAACTTATTTAGTTTTTCTTTCTGACTGTCTCCCAATCTCTTTACTTTCCATGCACTGAAAATACTGAAGAGAAACTCCATGTCCTGAACATCCATAAAAAATGAACTTAGATAGTTCAACTGCCTTCTGGCTTGACTTTAATATAAGCTGCATAATATTTGCTACTTTAAATGAAGACTAAAGTCAAGTATCTTGGAGATCTATTGCATCTGATGATTTCTAATACAAATTAGAAAATAGGTAAATTGAACATGAAATAGTCAAGTGATCTACTTTTGGGACTAAAATAGAAACTTAACACATAGGTTAGCTGAAATAAGGATATAATTTTATGCACAAAAGAGAAACACAACACCAGTTTGTACCAAAAATATTCAGTTTGACTACCATACAAATTACAGATACATATATAAAAATTAATATTTAATAATAGTAAAACCATACAATCAAAACAGGCTACTTAGAATACATCTAATGCTCCCTAGTGACTTGGACTGTTTGGTTTCCTAAAAACATTGCATGGTCATACCAAGTGTTTTTGAGTTTTGTTTTCCAGAAGAATTCTAGCTAACTCTCCTCCTCATAGAACAAATTTTAAAAAATGAGTGAACTTTGAATCTAATTTTGCATGAAAGTGTATACATCTGATTGATTTTTTAAAAAGTCATAAGATAAGTACATATTGAAATCAGATATAAATTTAAGTTTAGTAGCAACTGCATGTATGGCCTAGTGGCCTTTTTGACATTTTTTGAAACAAAAACATAGACACTTTTTATGTCTATGTTTTCTAAAGCTACCTTAAATTCATGGTGGCCGTTAAAATTTTCCATCATCTGTGATGTTCTTTTCCTTCTACTAAGCCTGTTTTTTTGTATGGGGAAAGGACATCAATTCTGTGTTTTAATTCTGTGGTTTCCAACCTTTTTTGATTGAGGACACCCCTTGTAATATGCCAGCTCTTAGCTTTCACTTGTTTTTTCACTATGGAAGAAGAATAGAGTAATTCTAGGATGTGTTCCTAAAATTTAAAATAGTAATACATTCACTTCAAACAAGAGAGACCTCAGTAATAAAAGCTCCAAGCAGGCACCCTTCCCAACATATGCTGAAGTACAGCACATGTGATATAGTCAGGCTCAGAACTTAACAGGGCATTCACCAACTGTCACAAAAAAGAAAAGGCTACAATAAAGGAATATGAAGTCCTGCCTAAGAATTCACTTTAAGCTTGGCTGATCACACAGGTCCTACAGTAAAGTTATTCATCCCAAAACCCTGGTTGAAGGGCAACTTCCATCTCTGATATGCGCCATGAGTATTCACTTAGCATCACCTGCCTGCTAACAGGTAATCTAAACTCACAGTCTGCATGGTAAGGAGACAGATGCTAGAAGCATAAAGAAGAATGAAGCACAGACCAGAATAAAAATAGAAGATGAAATTAGTTTTGTCCTACTGATATTTGTGTGTCTAACATGATATTTCATGTTACAAAGGCCACACCTCAGAGTACTGTCCAGGTGTTGGCAATACACAATTATATTTCAAACATAGATTTGCGAAGATTTTTAGTTCCAAGATTTTGGGATGCAATTCAATTGGTTGAGAAGGTGTAAATAAGCTGTTACAGCCAATTATATAGTGTGGAAATTCTGCTTCAGAGAAGCTACAGTGAGTGTTTGCCTTTTTACAATATACATTTCAGGAAAAATATTTTCCAAAAAAGGGAAGACTTATGTCTCATGAAAGCAGCTGTTTCCTAGTCTTGCACTGGTACCTAATGAGTGTCTAATGTGTTAGATGAGAGAGATGTTTTTTAAAATGCTATGTCTTTGCTGCCATAAAAATAATGAAATATACATAAATAGATTCAAATTTCTCTACAGAATCTCCTCCAACATGCAAACAAATGGAGATACATACATGCACACATAAACATGTGCACACACATCTCCATTCATGTCTGTTTAGGGTCACACTTCCTCCTCCAATGAAACAAAACAACCAAGCTCTTCAAAGCTGCTATGTTTTGATTCATTTTTGCCTTCCCTTGTCCCTGAATTTACACACATCATGACAAGCTGAGACTTTTTTTCTTCTAATTAAGCTATCTAAATGTAACAATTGTTTAGATATATGCCTTACCATTTACCTTTCCAATTGAGTGTTAAATATGGTGATTATTTTCCTAGTTTTATGGGATAGAAAACTAAATTCAGTGTTTTCTTGGCTAGCAAAATATTCATTATTACAACACCTTTGATGAGTTTTCATATTAATGGCCAGATTTTACAGACTATCCACTGTCAGGGAGCTTTGTTGGTTTTTGTTTTTTGGGTTGGTTTTCTTTTTTTTTTGGAACTTGATGATCTCTACTCCTATAAAACTTTTTCTTTAAATAGCTTAACATTCTTCCCATTGGGAAAGCTGTTCTCCAGTGGCTGAAACGATATTTAAATCTAAATTATGATATTCATAATCCTGAGCCATTTTATCCTGCCAAACCCCTAAGTTAATCATTGGCCAAAATGAGAATTCCTGGAATCTGTTGCTCAGGTTAAGTCTATAAATATAGATATGTAATATGGTGGTTGTGAATTAATTTTCTATCAATATTCACATTAATATATTCTTATAACAAGATCATTCATCAGATACACAAAATGCCAGTGTTCAGTTTCTGAAAATCTTTTATCCACACTTCATTTAAGTAGGAAAAAAGCAGGATTTATTGTAGGTTATTATAGGTGGATCCTTGATCCTGTTGCCCTTCACAAGGCAGTTAGCTCCGCTATTAGTCCCACCAAATAAACTTTAGTCTTTAGCAACACAAACAGAAAAAAACAAAATCCTCTGTCCTCTCTGGACATTATGACAGAAGTACGTTCCACTTGGCTTCTCCCCAGCACAGCAGAATGGCTTCTCCTCCTTGCAAGCTGTTCCCTCAAAAGCTGTCCCTTCTCTTCTCTCCTTTGGATTTTAAGCTCCCAGCAGGACACTTTTTCATTAGCAAAATGTCCCACAGCTAAATGTCCTTAAGGAGGGGCTGGTGGCCCCTTCTTAAGGGAACAGACCACCCTATAACAGTTACCAACAGTCATACTAGTATTGTGTTTTAACTTTACAAGCAATTTATACATTTTGCATAGACATGTTAAAGATGGAGAAAGAAATGGAATCTCAAGGGTGGGGATAGGCATGTGAATGTGCATGCTTATTTAAATCTTATATGTTAAGGAAGGAAGCTTTCCTTTTCCTGTTCTGTTTCATGGGAACAACATGCTTGGTGAATTAACACCATGCTATTATGGAAGTGCTGAACAATGCATTTTGAAATGGATGGAACAGAACACACACACTACAGTGTTCTTTCATTCTCTCCCTCCATCCCATTCTTTTTTACTTATTCATTTATTAAATAGTTGAAAGGACTCTTAATTGATTTTAGTGCTTGATCTGTATCATATTCTTATACAACACCCCACAAGAAGCATATAAGAAAATAAAAAGCAGAAAAAAGTTAGAGCATCCAATCTCTCATTGCCAACTTGAATTATGATTAGTTTTCTTTAATAACGTCAGCCTTCACTTAAAGTTAATGTGGTTTTTCAAATCAAACATGTGCTGAACTTGTACATACTCTGAGGAAACCTTGGTGGATTGTCGTTGACATCGGTGAGTGTGATATTTACAGTCGTTGACCCTGATAGCCCTCCAACCTGCCCAGCCATATCTTTGGCTTGAATGACAACGGAATAATGCTCTCTGGCTTCCCTGTCCATATTATGCAAGGCAGTCCTGATAACTCCTGTGAAGTAAAGAAAAACAAGAGAAAGTTCAGGATTAGATTTTCCTAATGGCAACAAAGGGTAGACACCCGCAAACCTTCCCCTGTCAAAAAGGTAGGATACAGCAAATGCTCTACTAATGAAAAGTCTGCATACATCCAAGATAAACCATTTTTAATTTAATTTGTGATTTATAATCAACACACTGCCAGTCTCTTGTGAGCAGACAACTGATAAAAAATGAGTTATATATTACAGTATGAAGAAATGTCAGAGTATTTCACTGTTTTGTAATATAATTATGGTAGCAACTGCTAGATAGTCAGTTTGCTTGAGGATATGTAGAAATTAAAATCACCCATAGTACAAGAAAATTTAATAATATATTAATAAATGATTAATCTATTTCATGTAATGTAAAAAGACCTCAAGGTACATCATCAGAAAAAAACAATGTATTCTCATATATGATAATTACTTAAGTAGTAGTTTAACTGAAATTTTAATGAATGTGAATTATGCCCCATCAAAGAAACCCAAATTATGTATGGTATTTGAACAAAAATATAATTTTTCTTTTTCCCAGTTTTGATGGGTAGTAGCTGAAACACTATTTAAAAACATGCCCCTTCTTATTAAAAAAAAAAAAATGTTCCATATGCGCATTCATAGTTTTAGGTGTGACTGTTAGCATTAGTATAAAAACAAATTTTTACTTTAGTGATGCTCTACCAGTCAACAAACTTGAAAGTGAAGGAGCTGAAAATCTTATTTAATTTTAAGCAAAATCAGTAGAAATGTTCCCCATATGCAAACACACACTGATGAAAACAGAGTTATACAAAAATCACTGCGGGAATAATCTGACCCATGGAACTATTATCACCGGTGTTGATATATTAGATAGAGAGAATCCAATTACTTTCTCTAATCCCAGTGTGTTGGGAAGTTTGGAGGTCAGATAAATCCCAAACAATATTACTTGAAAAGTGGGCCCATCTGATATAGAAGATAATAAAGCATGAAAAAAAATCCCCTAAGCCTCTTTCTTAGCAAACTTCTTCCTCAAGTTTTAGAATTAAAAATGATCTGTAAAGGCATTGGAAGCATGCTGTTAAATGAAGAAAATGAAGTTACAGCTATCAAGACATTCTTAAAAATGCATAAAGGGCTACCCTTGTTAAATTAAAACTGTATGTAATGTTAGGAATAACTCAGCTATGATCTTTTAAACTTAATGACTGTTACAATGACTGGAGGAAAATATAAACCTCAACAGGTGTAACTGTTGTTTCCCTGCATGTTTAAATCATTTGATAGCCATGTACAAGGAATAAGCATCCTCCCCCTCAAAGAAATTTTCCAAACAGTATGGTTCCTGAAGTTTGTGTTTCCACAATTATCTAAAGTGAAAAAATATTTCCAGAAGTACCATTTTCTTTTTATGGTATTTTAAACTTTGCCAAATTGTTTTTCAATAGTAAAAACAGTAAAACAATCCTGAAAGTATATACCTGAAATATACATTTCAGTGTATTCTGTCGCATCCTTACTATCCTACTGAAAAACCAAAGAGCAGCTGCTTTAAACTCAGGGAACTAAATTGCATACTCTTTGTGAAGGCTGAACTGGTGCATGCCCACACATGCAGTGGGTTTCTATAAAGAAAATTCATCAGGATCGCATGGGAGAGAACTGCAATAAATATTTTAGAAAATAAATTAACATTTGAAATAACTAATGTACTTATAATTGTGGAGAAGTGTTCTTAAAAAAACAAAATTAAAATCTTGTGATTTTCAAATCAATTTTGATTTGCATTGAAGTTTGTTCTTATGAGAAACATTAACATCCTGGCCACTGGAACCAAAGGGAAAGATGACTAATATTAAGCTGTGCAATTCTACTTTATTTGTATGTTCATCAATTAAAGATATGCTTCTTAACTTGGATCATCACAAAATACTCAGAATACACCCTCAAGCCACAACTTACATATAAAAATTAGAATTAGACTGAGAAATTTTAAAGGAAAAACATATTCCATTTCAATATGCAGTTCCTTAGAAAGCAAAATGCTTGAAGAAATATAGTCAATGTTACTGGAATTTAACTCTAGAAGAAGTCTGGAAAAAAGTTTCTACAGTGTGAAAAAGCCTTTTTTTAACACTTACCAATAGGAATGTTTCAGTTTTTCATATTGAAATTATTTCTCATTTGACCTCATTATTAGATTACACAAGATATGATAATAACCTCCGCAAAAACTCAGTCGAGAGACTTTGTCATGAACAAAGCATATTTTTTGCTGTTCCTTCACTGAGAATTTAAAAAAAAAAGTTTTTGTTTGAAGTAAAAACAAAGCAAATTTTGAAAACTTGAAACACATGACCAGCTGAAATTTCTGTCCTCTACAAAACCCTACTAATTGTAATATGGAGAAAATTAATATACTAAATGTTTAGTAATTTTTTTCCATTCAGAAAATGGTTTATATCTTGAAGAGTGGAAACAGAAGACATGTAAATAAAAGTACGTTAAAAACATAGCTCAGCTCTAACCATTCCCACACTTTTCTACTTGCTCCCTACCTATGTTTTCTGTAAAATAAATAAATGGGTAAACAGTGATAATCAAAAGCAACTGGAAACCAATTGCTTACAACAAAAATTTGCTTTGTTTATCCCAGATCATTTGGATCAGGCCAGAACTGGCCCAATGGCTGCATCCACACAAGCATGCATGTGTGTTCTGCAGCACCTCAAAGGCATTCAAGGCACCACAAAACACAACTTGCATATGTGATTTGGTTCTCCACACCGCACATTAAATACCAGGATTTAAATTAAAAAAAACAAACAAAAAACCCTCAGAAAAAAAGCGGGACTGGGCATGTGGTGGCAGCATGTGCTACTGGAAACAGGAGCCTAGCAAGCCATAGCCATACTTCAACTGCTGGCCAGGCCTTGCACACCCAGATTGCCACTGCTGGAGACCTGGGAGTCCCCCAGGACTCCATGGAAGGCTGTTGGGGCAGCACAGATGCTCACCTCAGGGTCCCCTACCCCACCTGGAGCATTTTTCTCCACATTAACCACATGTGCAAGGGCGTGCACGAGGGCAAAAAGCAGCAGCACAAATTTGTGCCACTTTTTTACTTGCAGCAACCACATGAGCCTGCTCGTGCAGATGTGGCCAATGAGAGTTATTAGTCATGCAGCAAAGCTGTAAACTCCTTTTCCTAGAGTATGCCACCAGTAAAGTTCACAATCAAAAGCTCAGTATGTTATGTAGCTCAAGAATACTCCTTCAACTGTTTTGAGAGTTTGGTTCTAAAATCATATGTATATTCAAATGTATCTGAATTAATTAAAAACAAAACAAAAAGGGCTTTCCTGCTTGCTGTTTTCTAGAATACATTTCAAGCTACTCTGACAATCATTCACTTTTGGACTGGGAATGGTCCCTGAGGATTCATCTGTATAGCTTCGGCAGTGCCCCTGACAGCACCATTAAGAAGTACATCCCACCCAACTGCTCCTGTTCTGTATACTCCAAGCCTAGAAATGGAGCACAGAGCCCTCATTTCCCCAAAGTCACTCTGACATTGTATTATACTGCCTCTCAGAAACATACCAGAGACAGATCTCAAAAGCAACATCAGTAATTCCCTCTGAAACTTTACTGCCTAGGATTGATACCTGAAAACAACCCTAGGCAAGATTCCAGTAAAGCTCATTCCCAGGAAGATATGTAAGGTAGAAAATGACATAAACCAAGACAAGTTTACACATTCTTAACAAAAAGGACTTATATCTGGGAATTGACCAAAGGCTATTTATTTCTCCTTTACAGCTACTCAGTTTGGCACATGAAATTAAAATATTCACAAGTGAAATGTTTAATTTTGTTATTAGAACATGAACATTCATCAGTAGACAATTTCTCACGAAGTATCATTAGGTCATACCACCCCAGTGTAATCATCTACATTTTTTTTAAAACCTGCAGTACTTTCTAGTGGTTTCTAATGTTGTTAGTCTGGTAACAGTAATAATCATTATACTTATTAAGATATATTTTAAATGTCCATTTAATGAACTGATTACATGAGAACTTCGACTAATTAGGGATGAAAAACAAGTGGTATAGGAAGCAGAGAAATATGATAATTTCATTAGTATTATTTTCAGATTGTGGTTGAAAGTTCTATTTCTGTCACTGTGTTGATTTAGGAGTATGTGGATAGGTTATTATTAGATTCACTTTATTATAACATTATTTTTCTTGAGTGTCTTGAGTACATTAAAATAAATTTCTAACTGAAAATATAAAAACTTGGAAGCACATAATCATGTGGCTTTCCTGTCTATTCCTTCCCTCCTCCACCCCGCAATTCAGGTAATTGCTAAGGAATTACAATAGAGCTCTAGACGTCCAAACATGACACACGCTTTAAACAAAAGCCACAAAATTAACCCCAAATCCATAGCTCCCCCAAATTTAAGAATGTTTAAAATAAAGGTGTTTTGTTATGTTTTATTTCGTTCAGCCTAGATCAGTGGGCTCCAATCCTTTTATGGAAAAGATCACATTTTGGAAGTAAAGGGCAGCCCAGGAACTATGATCTCCCCCTGTGCCACTTCCTACGCCCCACCCTGCCCCACTGGGACATGTGTCCCAGTGCTGGGTAGGCAAGGGGGCAAGGCTCAGCAGAAAGAAAATATAGAAATAACAGTATATCACACTATATAACAGTAGGTGGCAGGGGGAGCAGGTAGAGCCACAGGGAAGCTGGACTTTGGGTGGCTGCAGCAGGGGCACACACTCAGCCAAGATCATAACCTAGAACCCACGTGCACCCAAGGGACTGCTCAAATCGTCTGCACCCTGGTAGTCCCAAAGGTACAGGGGGAACTTCTGCCACTGGGTGCAGCCTGGTGGAGGCCCCAGGGGCCCCTGTCCCCCCAGCCTGTGCTCAGGGTACAGCAGGCAGACTGCAGCAGCAGCTGTCTTCATC